GCGATGACGACCACGTCGGCGATGGCGGCGGCGGCGACGGCGACGACGGCGGCGATGGTGCAGACGCTGGTGGCGCCGACGACGACAACGACGACGACGAAGAAGGCGACGAAGACGTTGACGACAACGGCTTACGCTTGTTTATTTACGAAAGCCTATCTTGATCAAAATATTGGCAAACTAACGGCAAATAGCGGCAACCGACTAGCGGCAAAAAACGGCACAAGCCCAGCGCGAACCGTCCATCAGTCACCCCCTACTCGCCGCCATTGGCCGCTAAACGCCGAACATGAAACCTTTCGGCGCCGCCGCCGTCCTCGCCCTCGGCGACTGCGGCCACGGCGTTGGCCACGTCGACGTCTTCGGCGACGGCGGCGACGACGACGAAGACGTCAGCGGTGGCGGCTCGGCGGCCACGGTAGCAGCAACACGGTTTTAGACGCCCGAAGAAAGTACGGAAAAATGGGCACAGTGCCCAACAACAAGTGTCGTCAAAAGGCTGATTGTCTTGCTTACTTCGCAATTGGCTTGTATCACTCCCTCCTCGCTTACCTCCTCCATGCTTTCCTAGCTCCAACCTGTGATCGGTTGTCCTGGAAGTACAATTCAGCAGCAGCGAAATGTGGTCGCAAACCATCTGCGGCCGCTCTTAGGCTGCCTCCTGCCTCAAACGGCCAACGCCCACGGCGACACCCGCAGCGAGTCCTGCTCAAAATGAACAAGAACTGCTGTCGGTCTTTGTGCCCAGTCTTCCCGTACCAGAACAGCCTGGTTTCTTGTTTTACTCACAGATGTTCCTGAACCTCCGTAGAAGCTTCATCTTGTGCTGTGGGAACAGCCACGATAAGGCCTTCCGATGCCTTGGAGTGCGCTCCGTCCTTCTCGTTTTTGTCCAATGATTCTACCCAGTATCCACCGCCAGACTCAATTCGAGCTCCCCGAACGGTGGCTTCAGCGGCGGCGCCTCCGCGCCGCCGCCGAGCGCCGCGGCGGCGCCGCAGTCCGTGGCGGCGCCGCACGCAGCGCCGCCCGGCGAGGCGGCCAGGCACTCGGAGATCTGCAGCCTGCGGGCGGCGCGGGTGACGGCGGCGGCGGCGACGGCAGCACACACGGTGGAGACCCATGCCAGAAAACATTCTGCTTGCCTCCAGGGTGCCCTGGGCTTCTTGGGTGTCGATGGGTTCGCGATGGGAAGCGCGACGTTCCCACACCAAGATTCAATGGAAGTCCTGGGGTCTCAGTGTTGGATTTCTTGTGGAAGGTTTCGTGTGGTCGAGCCCCTAACTGTAATGTGAGCGTTTTCTCATTCTGCGTTTCGATAATGGGCGGGGAGGGGGGGGGGTCTGGCCCCGGACCTCTGCTCAGTGCCACTGTTTGCAGCAGTGCGTCCTGTGGGGGAAGAGACCCCATCTGCCCGGAACAGGCGCCAGAAACAGCCAAGATCTACTCCAGGGGGGGGTGAGAGGGGGGGGTGCGAGGGCCCGCGCCGATGGGCAGAACAGGGAATAAAAAGACGATCACCATCGCCGTCGTCGACGCCCTTGTTTCGTGGGCTTTGAGGGGCGTGCCTCGAGGCTTCCTTCGCCACGGTCAGAGGTGCAACTCGAAACGTAATGGGAAACTGGAAACGGAAGGGACCCTGGAAGAGTCGGCGGTGGACGGGCTTCAAGCGGAGCTGGGCGGGGGCAAGGCGAGGCAGAGACAGCGGCCCTCCTGGAGGGCAACGGGGGCATCGCCAGGATATCCGACTTGATGCGAACCGCGAGCGAACTGCGAACTGCGAACTGCGGCCTGCGAGAAATGCACCGCGAGGGTGCCGCAGGGAGGGGCCGAAGCGCCCAGATTGGGGTGAAGCATGCAAACACTGCGTGGCGACAAGGTTGCGAGGAAAACTCTGCAAGTTCCCCCTCATCCTCTGCAGGCTCCTCTGCAAAACCAGGTTGCATGGAACACTACAACATAGGGGCCAGTGGAAGCTCCGACCCTTCGCTCAGGACTGGACCGGTAGTTCACCCCTAACTGTCTTCTTCTGACGGCCCTGGGGCCCGGCGACGGCCCCCGGAAGCCAAGAAACATTGTCAGAAACCTTCCGTCGTGTCCTTTGGTACGACGCAGGGTCTGGGTCCGTGGGGCCAAGACTACGAATGGGGAGCCACGCATGGCGAAGGGAAGCCTCCAGGACGCCTGAGAAGGACGAACAGCGCAACCAAGAACTCGATGTTTGAAGGACACATGTAATTATGAACGAATGGGAGAAAGAGAAGAGAGAGAGGCAGAGAGATAGAGAGAGAGAGAGAGAAAAAAAAAGAAAGACCGAGAGAGAGAGAGAGCGACTGAACATAAAGACACATAAGAGAAACACACACACACTGGGGCAAGCTCCAGGCTCTAGGACACAAGTTGTATCAGGACCTTTCTCTTCCATTGCGAGAGAGGGGGCGGGCGATGGCGGAGGCGCTCCCAGCAAACCAACGCCCCGGCCACCTTCGGATAAGCCCCATCCGACGATTTTGGGAAGGCCTCTCGGAGAGCGTCTGGGCTTTTAAGACGCCTCCCAACCCCCTTGCGCGCGCTGCGGAACAATGGTCAACCTGGCACACCGACCGAGGACCAGACCTCTGCATCCCGTCCCCAGTTACCAGAAATTCATTGTGGCCTACTCGCGGCAGTTGCGCCCTGCTTATGTCCTACTTCACGCAGTGATGCCGTGCTTGCCTACGACCCAAATCACCCTGCAAGAATGAGTTTCTAATGGGGGCGGTGAAGACAGGCCCAAAGATCACAGCACGGTTTGGTGCAATTGATCAATCATGCCACCTGATGAGCTGAATGTGATTCAATGTGATTCTGGTAGGGCCTCAGAACCTGCATAGCTTTCCGAGGCCGTCCTGAGCACGGAGAGCCTGCTTCGTCCAAAAACGACTCAATGACAGACGGTGCGGTGAGGCGTTCGGATTTGATATGGCATTGGACCACCTGTCACCCGCCGGTTTAGGGAGCCCCGAGGAAGAGAAGGGAGGAACTCACCCTGGCGCCCGCCACACCCGGGCCGCCCCGGGCCCCCTCTCGTCATCATGGCCTGCTTCCGGTTCTGGCGTATAGGTCATGGGGCATTGCCCCTGCCGTCGGGGCAGGGCACGGGCAGGACTGCAGCAGACAGGCCACACAAAGCAGGCCCGGGGCGCCACAGAAATCCAAGGGCAAATCTGGGGCACAATTTGCTGTAAGGTTAGGTCGGGCGTGTCCCCCTACAGGCGGACACTGGAGGAAAAACGCAACATATCCGAAGCATGAGCAACACGAGTCAAAAGAGCACGACAATTCGTCACCAGACTATTTTTTACGGGCGCAGCCCGTGAGTCGATTTTCGGGAGGTAGACAGAGCTGACTGACAGAACTGAACTGGATCACCAAAGCCGTGAGATGGCAATCTTACTTCCGCGGGCGAGGACATTTCGCTGACAGTTTAAGCCAGGGGGTGTGAGGATATTTCGCTTGCAGTTTTAAGTCAGGGGGGTGAGGACATCTCGCTGGCAGTTTTAAGCCAGGGGGTGAGGATATTTCGCTGGCAATTTCAGGCCAGGGAGTGAGAATATTTCGCTGGCAGTTGCAAGCGAGGGGTGTGAGGATCGGTTTTAGGTCAGGAGTTTGAGGATGCCTCGCTGGCAGTTGTAAGTCAGGGGGTTGGGGATATCTCGTTGGCAGCTTTAGGCCAGAGGGTGAGGATATTTCGATGGCAGTTTAAGTCATTTCGCTGGCAGTTTTAAGCGATGGGCGTGAGGATATGTCGCTGGCAGTTTGAGGCCAGGGGGGTGAGGATATTTGACTTGCAGTTTTAAGCCAGGGGGTGAGGATATTTCGCTGGCAATGTTGAGCGAGGTGTGTGAGGATATTTCGCTGGCAGTTTTAGGAGAGGGGGTGAGGATATTTCGCTGGCAGTTTTGGGCCATGGGGGTGAGGATATGTCGCTGGCAATTTCAAGCGAGGGGTGTGAGGATATTTCGCTGGCAGTTTTAGGCCAGGGAGTGAGGATATTTCGCTGGCAGTTGCAAGCGAGTGGTGTGTGGATGTGTCGCTGGCAGTTTTAAGTCAGGCGATGGAGGATATCTCGCTTGCAGTTTTAGGTCAGCGGGTTGAGGATATTTCGCTGGCAGTTTTAAGCCAGGCGGTGAGGATATTTTGCTGGCAGTTTGGGGCCAGGGGGTGCGGATATTTCGTTGGCAGTTTTAAGCGAGGGGTGTGAGGATATTTCGCTGGCAGTTTCCAGCCAGGGCGGTGAAAATACTTTCCAGACGTAACCAAGCAGCACCATGTGCCATGCACGGGCGGTCAGGAGTGATCGGCGGATTCGTTGGTCTGGGGTTCGGGGCGCATCATGCAGCCACAGCGTTGGAATATGGATCACGTTCGACATTGGATGCCGAATTGGGCCTTCCCCTGCCTGGCCCAGCCGGCTGCATCGCACCCAGCGCGGTGCTGCGCCCGTATATATGCTCGCCCCTTGACGTGGGGCTGGCGGGGGGCAAAATGGGTGAGCTGTCTGGTGATTTTACCATTGTTGAAAGTCCCTCCTGCAGAGGGACATGCCCGACTTCACCGTCAGAGGGGCCCCGCCGAGGCGCAGTGAGCTGCCACGAGCAAGGCGTGCCCGCCGCAGGCCGCAAGGGCTGTGGCCGTGCAGCGACCTCGGGCTGTGGGCAGCCGCCAGGCCGTGGCCGCTGGGCCGTCGCTGTCGTGGCCACCGCCGTCGCCGACAAGCCGCGGCCGCCGCCGCCGCCGCCGAAACCGGCCTCCTGGAGCGCTGCGCGCGCGGCGGGGGCGTGAGCGCGGCGGGGTCGAGCGCGCTGGCCAGCGAGATCCGGAGCGCCGGGCTGCCAGGAGGCGCGGGCGCCGACGAGCTGGGCCCTGGGCGCGCACGCGGGAGTCCTCCTCGCGACCTCCTCGTTCTGGTCCTGGTCATCGTCGTCCTCGTCCCACCACTCTCCTCACCCTCGTCATCGCCGTCGTCCTAGTTCTCCTCTTCCTCCCCCTCCCCCTCCCCCTCCTCCTTCTCTTCCTCCTCTTCCTCCTCCCTCCTGCTCCTGCAGGATCGGTGCAGACGCGTTCCTGGCGAACCAGGGTGCAATAGACTTACGCCAATCTTTGGTCCGCAAACTGAGCCCGTCCGAAATCGGTGCCGTTGGACAGCTGGCTTCCCCTCGCGGCAACCATGGCCACAACGCCTCGAACCTCGCCGCGGGTGCGCCCTGCGCTGTTGCAGGCAAGGATGCCTCCTGTGATGCCGCTCACCCAGTCCCGCCGCACCGACCTCCCCGAAAAAACATGTACCCGCAGAGGCGGGCAAAGGCGCCTCCTTCCCTCTTGCCGTCGCGGTCTCGTGGTACTCTCTGTTGCAAGATGGTCCAAGTTCGAAGTACAGTTCAACCAGCCGAGCACTTTGGCAGAGTTGATGGGCCAATGCACTTGGTGACACATGGTATGCAATTGTCGAGCGCGACGGTCTGCGCAATGACTGAAAACACAAGCTTCTCAAAAAAGCGGAAGGTGACGGGGAAGCTATGCCAATGACCGCCCCTATAATGGCAAAATCTTCGATGGCCCAAGCCGCTGCTGAGCCGTGCCACCATCATACATGATGCCCAAGCCGCTGATGATCCAGGATGCTCCTTGATGATCCTCGCCGGGAATAGAAGAAGAACCAACGGCATAACCGTAAACTGTTGGCGCTTCGCGCGGATTTCTTGGATATGCTCTGGACCCCCTTCCCTGGCGCGCGGAGCGCGCCAGGGGCAGAAGGCCCTCGTGAACGGTCTGCCAAATGGGCGCCATCACGCGTGCGAACCCTGCCACTGGGGTCTGCGGTGGAGCTCCCTATGGGGCCTCGATCCTCGTGAGGGGTGCACCGAAATGGGCGCCGTCACGCATGCGATTTCATGCCACAAGGGCCTTCCGCGAAGCTCCCTATGGGGCCTCGATCCTCGTGAGGGATGTGCCGACACGGGCGCCGTCACGCATGCGAACCCTTTCACTGGGGCCTGCGGTGCGCTCCCCATGCAGTCACGATCTTGGTGAGGGGTGTGCCGAAATGGGCGCCGTCACGCATGCGAACCCTGCCAGTGCCGCCCTCGGTGGAGCTCCTCTAGGCACACGATCCTGGTGAGGGTGTGCCGAAATAGACGTCGCCACGCATGCGAACTCTGCCCCTGGGGCCTGCGGTGGAGCTCCTATTGGGAGATACGATCCTCGTGAGTGGTGTGCCGAAGTGGGCGCCGTCACGCGTGCGAACCCTGTCAATGCTACCTTCGGTGGAGCTTCCTAGGAGGCAACGATCCTCGTGAGGGGTGTGCCGAAATTTACGCCGTCACGCATGCGAGCCCTAACGCTGGGGCCTGCGGTGGAACTCCCTGTGAAGCCACGACCCTCGTGAGGGATGTGCCGACACGGGCGCCGTCACGCATGCGAACCCCGTCCAATGCTGCCTGCGGTGTGGCTTCCAATGGAATCTACGATCCTCGTGAGAGGTGTGCCGCCGCCGTCACGCAGGCGCACCCAGGCCACTGGGGCCTTCTGGGGCCACGATTCACGCACGCGAGCCCTGCCATCCGGGCCTTCTCTGGAGCGCCCCTTCCCATGGGCCATTATGCTCGTGAGGGTGTGCCGACATGGGCGCCGTCACGCATGCGAACCCTGCCGCTGCGGCCATTGGTGGAGCTACCTCTGGGGGCTACGATTATGTTGTTCCCGTCCTGCTTAAGGACCGCATCCCAGAAATAATTTCGAGCACCCAGAAAAGTGTCAAAAGAGTGTTGAAACAGTGTCGAAACAGTGTCTCCCAAGGCCCGACACGTGAAAACCCTCGAGTTGTTGGGTACTTGTCTGGCGCTCGAAATTATTTCTGATGATCAGGGCTAAAGTAGATTGGGACATTATAAGGCAACGATCCTCGTGGAAGGTGTGCCGAAATCGTCGCCGTCGCAAATGTGAACCCAGCCCCCTGGGGCGTTCGGTGGAGCTCCCCGTGGGACCACCGAGCCTCGTGAGGAGCGCGCCGAGATGGTTGCTGTCAAGCAGGCGAACTGCAAACCCTACTACTGAGACCTTCTGTGGAGCTTTCTGCGGCCACGAAGCGTGTAATTAGGGTGGGTGATGATGACGATGATGATGATCTTGAAGCTGATGATGATGGCCATGGCGATGGCGATGGCGATGGCGATGATGATGATGATGATGATGATGATGATGATGATGATGATGATGATGATGATGATGATGATGATGATGATGATGCTGCTGATGATGATAACGGTGCCGATGGTGCACGGAAAGAAGGGAGGAAGAGGAGGAGGAGGATAAGAAGGAAGAAGAGGGAGGAGGAACGCGGAGCACTACATTTTGTAAACGAGGACCCAGCAAAACACGTTATTGGGAACAAGAACGTCGTTTTGTTGCCGCAGTCCACGGACAGGCGCTCCAATGAGGACAGGTGAGGAAGACGAGAGAGCGGAATGTGATGAGGGTAAGGATGAGGATGAATGTTGTGTGCAACGTGATCCTGGCCAGATCACCCACAGCGGCTGCATTTATCGGCAGAGGTAGCTGCGCGAGCAGATCCAAGCAACGGAAGCGGCAGCGGCTTTTCTTAGCCGAAAGGGCCGTCGGGGCATTGAAAACCACAAAAAGGGAGAGGAAGCCTCTGGAAACGGCACGTTCAAGCTCCGTCGGCCAGCTGGGGCAGGCCGGTGAGGGCTGGAAAGCCAGGTGACTCTGTTGCGATGGGCGGCGTTCTGTACAATGCTGGTGGTTCGCTCGGGCAGGAGACGAGGATGATCAGCAGAGGGGAAGAGTCCTCCCCCTGTTCCTCCTCCTCCTCCTCCTTCTTCACCTCCTTCTTCTGCTCCTGCGGCCAAATAACAAAACACAGCTTTGGAAGTAATCGCCTCAGAGCTCTACTCCCTCGGAACACGCACGCGCTTCGCGCGCTGAGGTTCAAGCAAGCACCCGCCCTCGACTTGTTCACTGCTGCGTGCATGTATGCATGTTGTTCACAGCTGTTCGCAGATCCTTGACAACGTCACCTCTGTAGTGGTGTCTCCTATATGGTGCGAGCCATTTAATGCGCTCTCGCCGACATCGTTGTCACTGCCATCGCCGTAGCCGTAGTTGTCGTCGTCGTCGTCGACGGCATCGGCGTTGAAAAGCTTAGGAGCCTTCCCCAGATTTTACGTGTTTGCATCGTCCCCTCCTCCTTCATCCTCCTCCAGGAACGCATCGGACTACGATTCGAGCGAAGTTGCAGGAGGAATTCATTAAACAATTGGGATAACATCGATAACTCGCTTCGTGTCGCTCCGACGCTCGTGGCGCGCGTTTCGCGCGCGCCTAGGTTATAGCACGTCCCGGCCCGTGGCCAGCTCACAGCTGCACTCATATAGACACCCACCATTGCCTTGAATATGAACTGAATAAATAATAAGACCACGGATGCAACTGAGACGAATCGACACGGGCACATCCGAAAAAAGAAAGTGAAGCTATGCAACGACGGGTGCCCTTTTGGGCCACCTCTCGCGGACGTCGCGAAAGCCTCTTGAGCTATCCGAGCTATTTCTTGGGCAGTCTTGGGACTCCCTTGGGTCGTCTTGAAGTCTCTTCTCCGCCACTTGGGACGCTTTGGGGACAGCCTCAAGAGCCTGGTGAGTCGTCGTGGTCCGCATTGTGTCCGAGCCCTCGTGGGACTTTTTCGGGGTCTCTTTGGATCGTATGGGGTAGCTCATGGGGGCATCTTGGAGGCCTGTTTGGGGCTATTGGGGGTCTCTTCGGGGCGCTGTGAGGGGCCTCTCGGGGTCTCTTGGGGGCCTCCGGGGCTGTCTCAGAGCGTTCATGGCCCGATAGACGCCTTCGGATGCCGTTTTGAATGCCTCCGTGGGTAGATGGGCGCTTTCTGGTGCTGTCATCGGGCTGTCATCGGGCTGTCCTCGGGGCTTCTTGGGCTGGTCTTGGGTGCCTCTTTTTCCCTGGAGAACTTTGAAACGGACTGCTTGAGCTGCCCTGAAGAAGAATGCACGCGCTGTCACGCTGACTGGCGGAGCACGTGCAGAAGGAAAGCCACGGGGAACGACGGAGGACGGAGAGAAAGCAGCCTTCAAACACCATGCCCGCGCTGTCATGCCAGCTGGTCGAGCACGTGATTCAGGCATCAGGATATGGAGAAAAGGGGAGATCTAGGGGTAGAGATCGAAGAGCAGGTTGGCCACTGGAAGATGAAGAGCAACAGCAGTAGAGAAAAAACTCTTCTCCAGACTAAGCAAACAAGATGCCACCAGACGTCGTAGTCTCAGCCAGACTATGTGAAAGATGTGCGGCCATACCTGACGCTCTGTTACCATTGCTGCGACGATTCCTCCAACACTCCCGCCCCTGTTATGCTCCTCGAACGTACTCTCTCCCTCCACCGCACCCACGTTCCTACTTGAACCCTAACCCACTTTGGGGGTTGGGGGTGTCTTCAAGAATAGTGAAACGATGCAAGCTGCGAGACGCAACGTCATATAACGCCGCCAGGAGCCAGACTCGTCTTGGGTACCTCTTGAGCCCTCTGGGGTTACCTTGGGCAGTCTTGGGGCCCTCTTGGGAGCTTCGTTGTTCGCCTTAACAGAAACAGGGGGCCACGTCAGCTGTCTTGGACGCTGTTAAGAGAACCTGGGCGAGAATGAAACAATTGCACGAAACCCAATTATTTGTCAACAGTTTAGGGCTCCCGGAGGCTTCCTGGAAAGCCTCTCAGAGTCCTCTTCGGGCTGTCTTCGGCCGCCTTGGGGGCCTCTTGGGCCCTGGGCCCTTTTGCGACCATTTCGGGTCGTCTTGGAACCGTCTCAGCGGACTCTGAACGTCCTGTGGGAACGCCGAGGAAGATTTTCGGCGTCCAGAGAATCACCCGGACCACTCAAAAAAAGCCTGCCGGCTCCGGGGACGAAAATTTGACGCCGGGCGGGCTGGGCGGGGGGGGGTTGGGGAAAAATGGGCCGCCCCCGTGCCCAGGGACCCAGTCGCCAGGTGACTTCTATAGGACCCCGCGCGCGTTTCGCGCGCGCTTAGGTTCTAGCAAGCCTCGGCCACTGAAAAGCTCATCACAGCTGCCTGCATGTGGGTAGCCACGAACGGCGTCAGCCTGGCCTGAGGGCGCAAGAGCGCGGACCGTGTAGAGAAGCTTATCTTGGGAGATCGTTGGGGGTACCTCACAAATTCGCTGATGTTTGAGATCCGCCTCAAAAGGGATGTCCTGAAAACCATATTGCGAGTGCGGGGGCGGTGAGGGAAGGTGGTCGTTCCTCTGTACCGTATTGGGCTGGCCTGTTGGGGGCCGTTTTGGGGCCTCTTGGGGACTCGTGCGGGCGTCCTGGGGGCACATTTTGGTTCCTTGGGGGCCTCTTGGGTGCCTCCTGGGGGTCTTGGGGATCCTCTTGGGGCGAGAAAATCGAACCTACAGCCTACAGTTCGAATTCCCCATCTTCTGTTGGGGCCCACTTGGGACGTTGTTGGGCCGTCTTGGGCGCTTCTGGGGCCGTCTTGAAGCCCTCTTTGGCCGTCTTGGGGCTCTGCTGGGGGCCTCTTGGGCCGTCTTGAAGCGATCTTTGGGCCTCTTGGGTCGTCTTGCATGCTGCGAAGACGAAACAAGTCAACATGCGAAACACTACCTTTCCCTGAAAGAATGACACGATTTTTGTCTTTGGGGGCCCTCATGGTGGTCCTCATGGAGCCGTCTTGAAGCCATCTTGGGCTGCCCAGAAGCCATCTTGGCCCGTCCGTGACCCTCTTGGAATCTGTCTGGAGGCCCCGGGGGGAGCCTGGGGAAGCTCAGGGGAGGCTACATGAACGCTCCGGGAGCCGGGGGAGTACTTGGTGTTGTCTGCATGAGTGCCCCTGGCGGGGCCCTGGGGCCCCCAGGGCCGGGTTTCCAGTGTATGAAAGATGCCAAGCTACGCCATGCAATATCATTAAGCAATGCCAAGCAACACAAAACGACAATGCCAAGCAAATGCCAAGCCATGCTAAATAATGCCAAACATCGCGCAGAAATGCAAATTAAGACCAAGCAGCGCAACGCAACATCAAGCGACGCTCAGCAACGCAAAGCAATGCCAACCGATGCCAAGCAAAACCAAGCAACGCAAAGCAACACCAAGCAATGCGCCTATGCAATTGGAAGACTTCCCACCAAGTGGGGTCGCGCTGATCTCAGTGCTTGATGCCAATACTTTTCGGCTCAAGATCGCCTAGGGAGACCTTCAGGAAAACCACACGAGGCCCCCGAAACGGCCCTAAGGCGGCCCGAGAAAACCCCGAAGACGGCCCAAGGCCCAAGAACGTCAAATGCCTTCGAGACGGCCCCCAGATCCTGCAGACGGTCCTACTATAGTGAAACCGAACATGTTTGGGAGAGCTCTGTGCAAGCACCCAAGAGGCCTCCCCTAAGAAGACTACCAGGAGGCCCCCAAGAGGACACCACTGCGACCACTCAGCGTTGCAGCCGCGGTGCGCTGCAGCGTGGCAGCCCCCAGACTGCCTAAAGGCGCTTCTACCGAGCCTGGTCGGGATACCTCGGCATGGCCATGCCGCATGAACTTTTCGGAGCTGTGCTGGCGTGGGAACCGGGGAAGGGGGCTGGACACGCCAGAGGGAAACAGTTCACGGACACCCCCCCTGACCCACAATTCACAACTGGCACGCGCGGGGAAGACCCCGGTCGAAGTGCAGCTCATCAGAGCCACCACCAACACGGATGATGGAGGGTATTGACCCATGACATGATCAGGGGCGCGCAAACATGGATTAACGATCCATGGATTTGGCGCGCCGTCGCCAAATCCATGGATCGAGGGAGGTGCCCTCCCCAACATGCGGCCGGTGCCGCCTCGTTCGGCGGCGGAGATCCGCGCTTCCCCAACGGAAGCGGGACCCGTCGCTAGTCCACGCCCCCCTGATCCGTGTCTGCGATCGCCTGCATTGGGGGGAGGGGGGGTTAATGACCTATGGGAATCGGCGATGCCTCGCCGTCTGGCTGCATAGAACCGCCTGCTGCCCAGAAGCCATGCCCTCCGGCACGCGCGTGCCGAGCCTTCGCGGAGTGAGCGTGCTCAGCCGCCCGCGGCGCCCTGCCCCCCACTCAGGCCTTCTAAACTGGACCTCCTCCTCCTCCTCCTCCTCCTGCTCCTCCTCCTCCTCCTCTTCCTCCTCCCCCTCCTCCTCCTCTTCCTCCCCCTCCTCCTCCTGCTCCTCCTCCTCCCTCCTCCTCCTCCTCCTCCTCCTCCTCCTCCTCCTCCTCCTCCTCCTCCCCCTCCTCCCACTCCTCCTCATCCTCCTCCCCCTCCTCGTTGGCTTGCTTGAGCCGTCGCGCTGTGGTGGCAACGGCTCGAAACAGAAAGCTGCTCGGAGCGCAGCCCAGTCCAGTCCAGAGGCCTCGCGCCGGCCACTGCGCGCGAGCAGTGGGTGAACATGTGCACGGAGGCGGATGCCTTCAGCACGCCGCCCGTGCCTTGACCACCTGCTCCCACCTGCGAGCTGCACCGCCCTCTCGGCGGAAGCAGTCAGCAGGTCGCTCAGTGGGAGTCGGAGCGCAGCGCTCGGTAACATAGAAAAGTCAGGCCCTGGTACTGCAGCAGCGCGCGGCGGCGAGAACCATGACGTGCAAGAGAGTTGGGATCAGCAGATATTCAAGAGAATACTGCAGCGCCTGAGTTCCTCCACCACCTCCATATCGCCCGCTTGTCCTCCTGCTCTTTGGATGCCCTCACGGGGGGTCATCGCTTGAAACTGCGGTCTCGGTGGATGGATGCCCTCGCAAAGGGTCATCGCTTGAAACTGTGACTGCCTTCGCCGAAGGCCGCGGCGGTCAACACGCTCGCAACGGTCGACACGCACGGTGAGTTTGCGTTCCTAATCCATCCACCTCCCCCACCATCCTCCTCCTCCTCTTCCTCCTCCTCCTCCTCCTGACATGCCTCGTGGTCGCCCTCACCGAGGGTCCTGCAGAAGATTCTGGAGCTGCGAACGGCTGCCGGCTTTCCAAAGGCTCGGCCTCGGCAGAGTGCCAGCACATGCCGAGCGCGCGGCAGTGTCAGTGGTGCGCTGCGTGGCTGGCTTCCAGACGAAGCAGTGCTCGGTGAGGACTCGCGCTCCTCCACCTCCTCGTATCCTCCTCTTCTCCTCCTCGTATCCTCCTCTTCTCCTCCTCCTCCTCCTCCTCCTCCTCGTACCCTCTCCTCCTCCTCCTCCTGATTTCAGTGGCGTGAGCCCCAATCTTCGGTTGCATTCATCGGCCTGCTGCGTGCCCTCATTCCAGACGGGCAGTGTGCACAAAAGGCGGTAGCCACAACAGCCCCCCGACCTCGAGTGCAAAAGCTTTGGCGGCGATGAAGCTGTGTGGTGCAAGCTACGTGGCGCAATCTACGTGATGCCAGCCGACGCCAGCTGATCGGTTTGCGGCGGCCGACTCAAGATGGGCGCAAGCCCAACAGGGCGCTGGAGTGCTGCAGATATGAACCATAAATCGCCACAGGCAGACTTGCCAATTGGCGCTGGCGTCGCAGGTCGGCTGCAATCCTGAGCTGCACCGCCAAAGACAGGGGAAGAGAGGGTAGAACAATAAGCAGCGCGGAGCGTAGAAAGCGGGCGACCAGCGCGGGGACACCGAGAGACGCCCCAGTTCTAGCAGGCTGCCTTGCTGGCTGCGCGACCAACAGGATTCTACTCCGCAAGGACTCCCCTTAACCATTCATCTTCACTCCAACATATCAAGAGGCACGGCAGCAAACGGCAATTAATCCTGGCCGTGCGTCGTTTGGCGCAGTATCCGCACGCGCCACTCCTCTTCACCGCAGCGCTACCGTCAATCAGTAAGGCGGTGTCGATTTGAGTCGGGTCCGAGCCGGGCTGCGTCGAGGAGGCAGGCATGTTCATATCGCTGCGCCCACAAAGCAATTCGGTGATGGGACATCCCATCTGTTTTGCCTTGCGCTGCATGCTGCGGCGCTGCGTCCTCGACATGTACTCACGACGGCCCCCCTCCGCCTCGTCCGCTGCTCGCGAACTCTCCGCTGGGCCTGCGGGGTCAGCGACGCTCCATGCGATGCCAGCTGGATCGCGCGCTGCCGGGCGACGACCGGGCACAAGCGCGTGTGACGTCCGCCATGGCCCACTCCGACGACTCCGTGAAGCTGCTCGAGGACGCGGCGGAAGGGTCGGAGCTGGGCCTCCGAGCCAGGGCGATGCGCTTCAGCCACGGCGAATCGCAGTCCACGAACGTGCTCTCGATAAGACAGGCTGTCGTCGAACGGCATGGCCTCCCCACCGGCCTGAATCGCGTCGCAACTGCACGAGGGCGGGGCTACACAACCACGGCCACGGACCCTCTGGCCTCGCCCCCACCCGTGCCTCCATTCGCCACGGATGCGTTTCGCCGTCGCGCTTGGCCGCGTCTTGGACCCAGAATCGCCGCTGACAGAAGAGCGAGCGTTTTCTCATTCGGCGTTTCGACATTGGGTGGGAAGAAGGGGAGAGGGGGGGGTCTGGCTCCGGACCTCTGCTCAGTGCGACTGCTTGCAACAATGCGTCCTGTGGGGGAGACTCCACCTGCTCGAAACAGGCGCCACAAACAGCCAAGATCTACTCCTCGGGGGGGTGGGTGGGGGGGGTGCGAGGGCCCGCGCGGATCGGCAAAAGAATAAGGACACGATCACCTCTTCCTTCCGCCGCTCGCTCGATGTCTAGCAGGTCCCGTGGCCAGGGGGGGAGAGCCGCGGGAGAGCCCGAGCACGGCGAGCCCCCGCAGGACCCGTCCGTTCCCATAAGAGGGGCCTGCTCCGCTCGTGGCGACGGGAAGATGGGGAACACAGACCTGCCTCGCTTTTGACCACCCTCGCTTCCAAGAGATACCAAGCGATGCCAAACTACGGCCAGTACTGGTCAGGCCGCTTGACGAGGAGGCGCGTGGTATGCCTTGGTTTTGCCTGGAAACGAAAGCGGGGTAGGTAATTCACGCTCTGAGGGAAGGCCTGCACACCGTCCTGCCGGCCACACTTAGGGCGGGCATGTCCTCCTACAACAGGCAGGCGCCCCCAGAGTCGAATCGACAGATCGAATCGGCGATCGAAGTGAATCGGATCTGCGGGCATCGGCAGCCGAGTCGGGAAAAGTCGAATCGGCGGAAATCGGCAGCCTATAGTATAGGCCTCCATTAAGAAATCGGAGCCCACATCGGAATCCCAAGCCGAATCGAATCGGAATCGAAAACCACCAACATTGAATCGAATCGAATCGGAGGAATCGAAATGAGCACTGCCTACAGGCAGAGTTTGGAAGACAATTTCGAAATAGCAAAAAACAAGCATAGCCAAGAGAGCACGAGCAGTCGTCCCCAGACTGTCTTTTCTACTGTTCTTGAAGATTACTCCTGTGGAGGGACATGCCCGACTTGAGGCGACACGCAGGGGTGCCCTCTGGGGAAGCCTCTGGTAGCGCGGCTTCTTCAAGGCTCAAGGGGCGCCAGACCCGAGCACGCAGGCCTCTGCCGTCGCACCGCTCCTCGCGATCGAGGGAGCCCCATGGGCTTGCACCAGAAGGCACTCGGGCGAAGGGCCACTCTTGCCCGTCGGTCGGAAGAGGTGGGCAGAACCGTGAAGCAGGAAGGCGCCTGGAGGTAGCTCGGATCTCCGCGCACCTCCTGCAGACGAGAAGGAAGAGGGCAAGCCGCTCGATCCTTGCAGCAGGAAGGCGCCTGGAAAGCAGACTGGGATCTGGGACTCTAGAGGCACCTTATTTCAACGAGCGGCGTGCAGTCGATCCTGGGGCCTTGCACGGCCCCTGTGAGGGCCCAGCACGGCCCATGTGGACCAGAAAGCAAACGTCACCGCCCCACCTACGGCCCCAGGGGGCTTAGCGTACACTAGGACATCTGGCGTGTTTTTGCGTGGCGTACGCTACGGCACCCAATGGGCCGTAATGCAGCGTAGACGGCCGTAGACTGGGGTGGTGTCGTTTGTTTTCTGGTCGACCCTGGCCGGGCACTTTGGCGCCCGGGGCGCTCCCTGCGCCCGGGCAGCATGCCTCCTGAGGCCGCGATGAAGAGGAGCAGGCGGAAGGGAGGAGGGCGGGGATCAGGAGGAGGAGGAGGAGGAGGAGGAGGAGCAGGAGGAGGAGGAGGAGGAGGAGGAGGAGCAGGAGAAGGAGGAGCAGCAGGAGGAGCAGCAGGAGGAGGAGGAGCAGGAGAAGGAGGAGCAGCAGCAGCAGGAGCAGGAGGTGGGGGAGGCCGCAAGAAGAGGCCACCGCTGGGCGGGGGGCGGCCTCCCGCGCCGGCGGCGCCGCGCGGCCCGCTCGCCCGCGGGGGCGTCCGCGGCCCGTCCGCGTCGCCGTCCGCCTCCGCGGGGGCAGGGCACCTCCCTGGCTCCCTCCCTCCCTCCTCCTTCCTCTCCCTCCTTCTCCTCCTTCTCCCTCCTTCTCCCTCCTTCTCCTTCTCCCTCCTCTCCTCCTTCTCCCTCCTCCTCCTTCTCCCTCCTTCTCCCTCCTTCTCCCTCCCTCCTCCCTCCCTCCTCTCCCCCTCCCCTCCCCCCCCCCTCCCCCTCCCCCTCCCCCTCCTCCTCCTCTCTCCTCCTCCCTCCTCCTCCTCCTCCTCCTCTCCTCCTCCTCCTCCTCCTCCTCCTCCTCCCTCCTCCCTCCTCCTCCTCCCTCCTCCTCCCTCCTCCCTCCTCCCCTCCCCTCCTCCTCCCTCCCCTCCCTCCCTCTCCCCTCCCTCTCCCCTCCCCTCTCCCCTCCCTCTCCCTCCCCTCCCTCCCCCCTCCCTCCCTCCCCCCTCCTTTTTCCTCCTCCCTCCCTCCCTCCCTCCCTCCCTCCAGCCAGGTTGCGTGTTCGACCATGAACCCCTTGTGACCATCGCTCCTTGGCGGTCGTCGGCGGTCTTCGACGCTCTTCGGGCGGTCTTCCGGGCGGTCTTCGGCGGTCGTCTGGCAGTCTTCGGACGGTCTTCGGCGCTTTTCGGGCGGTCTTTGGCAGTTTCCAGCGGTCTTCGGCCCGAAAGCTGGATGGTTGCGTTCAGCAAGGGGACCATGTTCGAGCACTCACCCCCCCCCTCGAAATCAGACGCAAGTTTGCCCCACGACATGGTGGCGCCCCAGGACTCTAAAATCTCAATGTTCGCGCGGAACTTGGCGACTGCAAACGCAGAGATCCGACCTCCGTGCACGCCGTGGACCGCGTTTCGCGCGTCGGCCAACAATACCACCTCGCGTTCGGCTTCGAGGAGGGCTGTAGGCCGGGGAGCGACTGCAGAGGGCCTGGGCCCAGCCCGCCGAGGCTCCCCGGATCTGGTGGCTCTTTGGCGCCTTCCGCCCTCTTCCGTGCCCCTGGGCGGCCTCCCGTCGCCACGCCCGGGTTCCCCTCTTGAGATTCTGGCCAGGGCGCCCCCCTGAGGATGGGCCCGGGAGGGGGGGATCGAGCCTCGCCCCTGGGGCCGAGGCTCCCTCCTTGGGCCTTCAGCGGAGGTTTTCGTATCATGCACAGCTGTGTTCTAGAGCTCGGACCTGTCTATTTTCGTTCGCCCTCCCCCCCAGCCACAGAAGGAAACCCCTGGAGGAAGCAGGCGAAAGCCTCCTGCCCCTCGCGACTGGACACGCGTGCCACTTGGTTCTCCAACTGGGGGCCGTGTTCGGCTTGTTTTCGAGCTCGGGGCCCATCCAAGGATGGATCCGGCTCCGGGATGCAGAGCTGCCCCTGGAGGATGGTCCATAGCCCCGGGTCCGCGGATTGAGAAGGTCACATCGTCGGAAGTCTGGGAACGCGGACGGCGTCTTCATACAGTAGGAGCTCGATCACAAGAAACCTGCCACAAGAAACCCTACCCTGAGAGCCCAGGACGGACATCGATTTTTGGTGGGGTAAAGTTACGCTCTCCATAGCAGGACCATCGAAACCAAGAAATCCAGGGCTCCCTGGAGGCAAGCAGGGTGTTTCTTGGCATGGGTGTCCACTGTACCACCACCACCATACCTGACCAGTGCCATCCAAGGCCTTGCCATAGGGTGCACACCTCCCTGGCCGAGGCCACGAGGGTCTGAAAGCCTCGTCCCAGGGACCAGCTGCCAGGGTGGCCCTGGCCAGATGGTGGCGATATCGGCGAACAAATTGCATCGACGCGTAGTTCCATCATGGGCCGAGAGGCCCGATCCATCGATGTCCTTGCGGGCCTCGACTGTCGAGAACGACAAAAGGTGGTTCTCGAAGTGATGCCCATTTTGAATAAGTCTGCCAGCGTGCTTCCTTGTTGCACCTGTAGAGCGTTCCTGCGCCTCTCTTCCAGACAACTCCCCCGGGCATCGTTTCTGGATGGGCTGGTGGGGAAACGCAAGGCGTCAAGAATCATCCCCAGAGCCCACCCTCCCTGGCGCGCAAACGCTTGTCGCAGGCGACGCCGAAGGAGTCAGTCCACCGCCGCCGCCGCGTCCCCGCCACCGCCTTCGTCACCGCAACCGCCGGGAGGTGGCGCACGTCCAGCGTCGCCCGATGAAGCGCCGATGACGCCTCCGTCAGCATCGCCGTCGGCGTGGGCGCCGTACAAGAGGATGTGCCCTGACATCCTCCGATGTGATTTTTCAGTCCGCTGCTCCAGAGATCCCGACCCTTCCCTGGGGGCAAATTTGCGTCCAGTGCCCATTTCTGTCTGTCCGGGGACCCGAAAGTAATGCACCCCCCAAAATTAGCCTGGCGAAGGACCCAACCATATGCAATTGTGAATACCATCGTTGTATGCACCGCATTCGGAGGAGCTCCCTATAAGGCCACGGAACGTGTGAGGGGTGTACCAAAATTTGTCCGGTGGGCGCATGCGAAAGCAGCCACTGGGGCCGTCGGTGGAATTCCTTATGGGGCCGCGAAGAGCGTGAGAGGTGTGTCGAAATAGGTGCGGTGGGCGCATGCGAACGCAGCCACTGGGACTGTCGGTGGAGCCCCCGATGGGGCCACGAAGCGTGTGATGGGTGTGCCGAAATGGGTGCCGTGGGCGCATGCGAACGCAACCAGTGGCACCTTCGGTGAAGCTTCCAATGGGGCCACGAAACGTGTGAAGGGTGTGCCGGAATGAGCGTGGGTGGCGCATGCGGGCGATGGCACCAATGCAAGGCCTTCGTGGGAGCTCCCTATGGGGCCACGAAACGTGTGAGGGGTGTGACGACATGGGTGTGGGTGACGCATGCGGGCGGTGGCACTGGCGCCTTCTGTGGAGCTCCCTAAGGGGCCACGAAGCGCGTAAAGGGAGTGCCAAATTGGGTTTGGGGGGCGCATGCGGGCGGTCCCACTGGGGGCTTCGGTGGAACCCCCTATGGGGCGACGAAACGTGTGAGGGGTGTGCCAAGTTTGGTTTTAGGGACGCATGCGGGCGGTCCCACTGGGGGCTTCGGTGGAGCTCCCTATGGGGCCACGAAGCGTGTGAAGGTGTGCCAAATTGGGTTTTGGGGACGCATGCGGGCGGTCCCACTGGGGGCTTCGGTGGAGCTCCTTATGGGGCCACGAAGCGTGAGAGGTGGCAAATTGGGTTTGGGGGACGCATGCGGGCGGTAGCACTGGGACCTTCGGTGGAGCTCCCTATGGGGCCACGAAGCGTGTGAGGGGTGTGCCAAAGTTGGTTTGGGGAACGCATGCGGGCGGTCCCACTGGGGGCTTCGGTGGAACTCCCTATGGGGCCACGAAACGTGTGAGAGGTCTGCCGAATTGTGCGGGCGGTGGCACTGGCGCCTTCTGTGGAGCTCCCTATGGCCACGAAACGCGTAAAGGGAGTGCCAAATTGGGTTTTGGGGGCGGTCCCACTGGGGGCTTCGGTGGAGCTCCCTATGGGGCCACGAAGCGTGTGAGAGGTATGCCAAATTTTGCGGGCGGTGGCACTGGCGCCTTCTGTGGAGCTCCCTATGGGGCCACGAAACGCGTAAAGGGAGTGCCAAATTGGGTTTTGGGGATGCATGCGGGCGGTAGCACTGGGACCTTCGGTGGAGCTCCCTACGGGGCCGCGAAACGCTGTACTGGGTGGGTGAAGCGCAGGGAGGAAGGGGAGGAGGCAAGAGGGAGAAGGGGAATGAGGAAGGAGGAAAGAGGGAGGAGGAACGCGGGGACCGTCTCTCCAACACCCACCGGATGGTTGGGAAAAACGAAATCGAGGAACCACGCCGGGATCGTACAACGCGTATCGGGGAGCCGCGCGTAAATCGTATATACGCTCAAGGTATCTGGGCCCTCTATCATGGGGTCTCGCAGAAGCTCCGCAGGACAACGTGTAGTGTGCAAGTGTCTGGCCAATATTCCTGGTGAGAAGTGTTAAAACATATACATGTATGTATACCGTGTGAGGCCCGCCATTTGCAACTAGGTGGTGGGCACACGTAACATAAGAGGCTCGCCAACCTTGATCCCAAACGGTGTGTTTCCAGCAATCTATGTTGTGCAATCCATGTTGTGCAATGCGCGTGGTGCAAAATATGTTGTGCATCATGATGTGTGCAACTTATGTTGCGCATAATATCTTGTGCAGTCAGTTGGGTGCAATGCGTAGTTAGCACTACATGGTGTGCAACATGTTATATGCAATGTATGATGTGCAATATACGTGCTGCAATATATGGTCCAGGGTTTGGGCTCCCCCCCCCCCAATGCTGATGCCATTGGGCCCCCCCCCCCCGCGCGATGGTCCCCCCCGCCCCCCCCTGTGGGCGTGGCGTGGTGCTGCGCTGCGGTTCCCCCCCCCCCCCCTGTGGATGTGGTGTGGTGCTGTGGTGGTTCAGAGGTGGGCGTGGCGTGGTGTTGCACTGCGGTGCCCCCCTCCCCCCCCCTGTGGATGTGGTGTGGTGCTGTGGTGGTTCAGAGGTCGTCGTCGTCGTCGTCGTCGTCGTCCTCGTCCTCGTCGTCCTCGTCGTCGTCGTCGTCGTCGTCGTCGTCGTCGTCGTCATCGTCGTCGTCGTCCGTCGTCATCGTCGTCATCGTCGTCGTCGCCGCCGCCGCCGGCGTCGTCGCCGCCGCAGCCGTCGTTGTCGTCGTCGTGGTCGTCGTCGTCGTCGCCGTCGTCGCGTCGTCGTCGCAGCCGTCGTCGTCGTCGTCGTCGTCGTCGTCGTCGTCGTCGTCGTCGTCGTCGTCGTCTCTGGGACCATACCATCTGGGGGGGGGGGGCCCGAGGAATCCTGGGACCATACCATCTGGGGGGGGGGGGCCCGTGGGCCCTCGACCCTGGAACATATATGCAGTACAATGTTTATGATTCGTAGGACATGCGCAATGTATGTGACACGATATAATTATGTCGGCGGTGCCCCGTGGCACGAACCCCTTCCAGTACTGCCGGGGAGTTTCGCGCAGGCCGCATTGGGTGCCGCCGACGGCTCAGAACGCCCCCCGTTTCACTTTACCGCGGGGGTTCGCGCAGGCCGCAGTGGGGGGGGCTCCGACCTGGACCACCCCCTGTGGGAGTGGGGGGTCGGAAGTGGGGGGTGGGGTTGGGACGGGGGTGCGGGTGGGGTAGGGGGTTCTCTGTGGAAGTGCGGCGTCTTGGAACACCCTTCGGGTCCAGTCGAGCCGTCTTGGGGCTTTCGTAGGCCGCCCATGGGGCTCTCTGGAGCGCCTCGTGGGCCAATGTGGTGGAGAACGCACACGCGGAGATGCTAAAAATAACGCGGAGATGCGAAACATATAGCGCGGAAGCGCGATGTCCAGGGAAAGGAGGAGGAACTGGCAGCGCTGTTGTCGACATTGCTGGGCACGTGGCAACAAGAGGCAGCTGCAACTCCCGGGTGGGCCACCTGCCCCGGAAGACGTTTCGAGCCTCCTGGGAAGGGTCGACGGAACGACCGCGTACAGAAGAGCGGTGCCGCCTTGTTCCGGCACGTCCTGGGGGCGGTCACGCATCTGGGTGGAGGTTCGTGCATACCGGGGGGGTTCGTGAATACCGCAAAGGTTCGTGCTTACCGGGGGGGGGGGGGGGCCGGCGGTGCGGCCGGGTCGAACCCCCCCAGGATGGAGTTTACCGGGGGGGGATTCGCTCCGCACCGGGCACCGACGACATATATTTGGTGCAATTTTCGTGATGCAACTTATGTGGTGCAGCAAATGTGGAAGAGTCGATGTTGTACGATATCTGTGGTGCAGTCTATGTGGAGCACTTTATGCGGGGGAACATTGGCGAAGCGGCCGATGCTGATATAGATGTGAAGCTATGTAGGTGGTGCACTATATGTGGTGCAATGTATGTTGCGCAATGCAATACAATGCAATGCAATGCGATGCCATGCAGTGCGATGCAATGCAAAGCGCGGCGGCGAGGCGGCGACGGCCGACGCACAGGCCAAGACGATTTGCGGCGACGAGGCGGCGACGGGGCGGCGACGGCGGCCACATAGCCGCCAGACCGACGCCCTGGCCCAATTCCTTGTTCCGGAAGAAAGGACCCCTGAACACAAGCACTGCCTGGGGAGGCGAGGCGAGGCGAGGCGCCGGTCAGTTGTCCCAGGCCACGGCCCTACGAGAGCCCCACGGTGGCGCCGGAGCGCCGAGAAATGTCTACGCGAGAAGGTATGGAGAGAGAAGGGGGGGACTCAGAACGTCAAGTTGGCGAAATGTGAGTACCAACTCTGACTAATTGCTGTTACCACCAAACTCCCGCACTGTCCCCACATTCACGAATGCCGGGGCCGATGCCGACCATGCTGTTTTGTCCTTCGCAATGTGTATCCACCTTCTATGATCGTCGTCGTGGAGACCTAAGTTAGGATGGCCAGAACAGTTAGGATGGGAGGTCTTTCCTGCAATTGTACTACACCGAACCGCCCAGAATTGATTATCTCCATTACGTGAAGACGGGGACCTTAGTGAGGCCACGTCTTCATCGTGTTATTCGGGTTAGGGGTTCTTTTGTTCTCGATGAGAAGTGCAATGGAAACCAATCCACAAGAAACCTTCCACAAGAAATCCAACCGTGAGACCCCAGGACGTCTGTTGATTCTTGGTGTTGGAACGTCACGCCTTCCATCGCAAAACCATCGAAACACAAGAAGCCCAGGGCACCCTGGAGGCTCGGAGGCAAGCAGGGTGTTTCTTGGCATGGTTTCCCACTGAAGTAGTGGACATGCTCCCAGGAGAGCCCAGAATCGAATCGATGAGTCGGATCGCCGATTGACATGAATCGGATCGGCGGAAGTCGGCGGCCGAGTCGGCAAAAGTCGAATCGGTAGACATCGGCAGGCTGATAGGCCTCTCTTGAGACATCGGATCCCGACTCAGAAACTCCAAAGCCAAATCAAATCGGAATTGGAACCCATCGAAATCGAATCAAATCGAACCTGGCCTCGACCTATGTTGCTCCCATCGTACTTAAGAACCACATCCCAGAAATCATTTCGAGCACCCAGTAAAGCATCGAAACAGTGGTGAACGAGTATCGCCTCCCAGGGCCCGACACGCGAGAACCCTTCAGTTTCGGTACTTTCCTGGTGCTCGAAATTCTTTCTGGTGGACGAAGCTAAAGTAGGCTGGACCATCATGAGCCTCGACACATCGTCGGAGACCTGTCGGGCCGGGCGAAAGGGGTGGATAGCAAAGGAGGGGTTTGAGAATCGGCTCACGTAACTGATTTTTTTCGGCGCCTCCCGGCGCCGCAGGCGGCCATGTATCGAGGAATGGGCCCCTCGGTGGGGCCGAAACCAGCTACTTGCACCCCCCTTTCTCTATCCCCCCCTTCGTCTGGCCCGAACCTGGCGCACCCGCCGCCGCCGCTCAGCGCCGCCCGCCGGCGGCCGCGCCCGCGCGCCTCGGGCGTCGCCGGCGCCGCCGCGGACGCCGCCACGAGCCCGGGCGGCGCCCGGTGGGGCGGTGGCGCGCCGCCGCCGCGGCCCGCTGGCGGCGGCGCGGCAGCAGCGGTGGACGCGGCGCCTGGCAGCGGGCCCCGATTTCCCCAGGTGGCCCCCAAACGCAAACGTGGCGGCGGTGAGGGCACCAGGCGGCGAATCTGGGCGATTCATAGGGGAACCGAGAGATGGCAGAACATGAAAACTCGGAGGTCCGAGCGGATTTCTCGGACAGGCGCTGGGGCCCCCTGGCGGCGCCTCCGGCGGCGCCCCTGGCGCGCTCCGCGCGCCTTGGAGGGGGGTCCCCCGCGGATCCGAAAAATCCGCGCGGACCTCAGAATTTTTATGTTTTGGGGACTCATGTGGTTTTCCGACGATGTCCGGAACGCTGGTGGGTCCAGGAGTCACAAAACCCGGCGGTGGCCCCGTGTCCCAAAACCCGGCGGTGGCTTTTTGGAGACTCCAGGTCGCCACCCGATTAGTGGGCAAACGAACCTACCTCGCTTTTGACCACCCTCGCTTCCAAAAAATACCAAGCGATGCCAAACAACGGCCTGTACTGGTCAGGCCGCTTGACGAGGAGGCGCGTGGTATGAATTGATTTTGCCTGGAAGCGAAATCGGGGTAGGTAATTCACGCTCTGGGGGAAGGCCTGCACACCGGCCTGCCGGCGAGACTTAGGGCGGGCATGTCCTCCTCCTACATGCAGGCGCCCCCAGAGCCGAATCGACAGATCGAATCGGCGATCGAAATGAATCGGATCGGCGGACATCGGCACCCGAGTCGAAAAAAATCGAATCGGCGGAAATCGGCAGCCTATAGTATAGGCCGCCATTGGGAAATCGGAGCCCACATCGGAATCACCACCTGGTTTGGGGCTCCCAGGCTTTCCTGAGTGCGCTTAAGCCCTGGCCGCTGGGACTGCCGGCCGGGAGGTTCGGCTCGTGCCGGCTGGCCCTGGGAGCTCCTGCCCTGCACGCGTCGCCACTCGCGGCGGGCAATGTTCTAAGAGCGTGCCGCTCCTTCGGCACCAGCGTCAAGTCGCGCGTGTCCCCATTCCGGGGGATTTTCGACGAACAAAAAAACAAAACAAATGCTCCAAAATGGCAACAAATATTCAACAAATGCCCCCCCGACTATTTTTGAATTATTTTTGAATCCTCCCCCTGTAGAGGGACAGGCCCGACCCACGACAGCTCTGTTCTTGGGACCCCCGCCCCCGCGATTCCTCGCCCAAAAACGACCGACGGGCCCCTCCTCGCCCCGGCATCCGCGCCCACGGCAGCTCTGTTTTTGGGACCCCCCACCCCTTTTTTTCCCACCCAAAAACGACCGAAACCCCCCTCCTCGCCCCGGCATCCGCACCCACGGCAGCTCTGTTCTTGGGACCCCCCACCCCACGATTTCTCGCCCAAAAACGACCGACACCCCCCTCCTGGCCCCGGCATCCGCACCCACGGCAGCTCTGTTTTTTTGGGCCCCCGACCCCACGATATCTCGCCCAAGAAACGACCGACACCCCCCTCCTCGCCCCGGCATCCGCACCCACGGCAGTTTTGTTTTTTGGGCCCCCGACCCCACGACTTCTCGCACAAAAACGACCGACACCCCCCTCCTCGCCCCGGCATCCGCACCCACGGCAGCCCTGTTCTTGGGACCCCCGACCCCACGATTGGCGCCCAAAACGACCGACACCCCGCTCCTCGCCCCCGGCATCCGCACCCACGGCAGCTCTGGGACCCCCGACCTCACGACTTCTCGCCCAAAAACCACCGACACCCTCCTCCTCGCCCCGGCATCCGCACCCACGGCAGCTTTGTTTTTTAGACCCCCGACCCCGCGATTTCTCGCCAAAAACGACCGACACCCCGCTCCTCGCCCTGGCATCCGCGCCCATGGCAGCCCTGTTCTTGGGATCCCCGCCCCAACGATTTCTCTGCCAAAAACGACCGACACCCCCCTCCTCGCCCCGGCATCCGCACCCACGGCAGCTCTGTTCTTGGGGCCCCCGACCCCACGATTTCTCGCCCAAAAGCATCCGACACCCCCCTCCTCGCACCGGCATCCGCACCCACGGCAGCTCTGTCCTTGGGACCCGCAGACCCCGCGAATTTCTCGCCCAAAAACGACCGACACCCCCCTCCTCGCCCCGGCATCCGCGCACCCTACGGCGCTTTGTTCCGGGACCCCCGACCCCACGATTTCTCGCCCAAAAACACCCAACACCCCCCTCCTCGCCCCGGCATCCGCAACCACGGCAGCTCTGTTCTTGGGACACTCGACCTCACGATTTCTCGCCCAAAAACGACCAACACACCCCTCCTCGCCCCGGCATCCGCACCCACGGCAGCTCTGTTCCTGGGACCCCCGACCCCGCGATTTCTCGCCCAAAAACGACCGACACCCCCCTCCTCGCCCCCCATCTCGCCCGGGCATTCCCACCCACGGCAGCTCTGTTCTTGGGGCTCCCGACCCTATGATTCCTCGCCCCCGACACCCCGCTCCTCGCTTCCCACCTCGCCCCGGCATCCGCACCCGCGGCAGCCCTGTTCTTGGAGCCCCCGGCCCCGCGATTTCTTGCCCAAAAACGACCTCCTCGCCCCGGCATCCGCGCCCACGGCAGCTCTGTTCTTGGGGCCCCCGACCCTCCGATTTCTCGCCCAACAACGACCGACGCCCCATCCTCGCCGCAGCATCCGCACCCACGGCAGCTCTGTTCTTGGGACCCCCGACCCCGCGATTTCTCGCCAAAAAACGACCGACACCCCCCTCCTCGCCCCGGCATCCGCGCCCACGGCAGCTCTGTTCTCGGGGCCCCCGACCCCGCGATTTCTTTTTCAAAAAACGACCGACACCCCCCTCCTCGCCCCGGCGTCCGCACCAGCGGCAGCTCTGTTCTCGGGGCCCCCGACCCTGCAATTCCTCGACCCCAAACGACCGACGCCCCCCTCCTCGCCCCGGCATCAGCACCC